TAATGTTTACATGTTGTCTGAACATGTTTTAGGACTTCTATATATGTGGCTTTGGTGACGTATGACTAATGTATTTAAATAACTTCACTCTTACGTATCGAATTTTGAAGCTTTTGTTTCATGTGTATCTACACAACTCTATGAACTATGAATATTTCTATGTTTGCTTCCGTAGCTCCTTGTCATATGATATTCAGATCAAAGGCCTTTGGTAATCCCTGGATTATTGGCCGGTTACAACGCTAAACCTACAGAAGCGGGTTTGAGTCGTAACAATAGTCAACATATATTTTTTTTTACTTTTTAATTTTTCAAATTGAAACATCAATTGTTTATGTCTATAAAACAAAACTGATAAACACATATCCAAAAGTTACACATTTTTTTTTCTTTTTTTTAATATATAGGATATTTACAAATGGAAAATATTTGACACCTCAAAATTTTTTCCATAATCCGACTTATAATGATGTAGTCATAAGTGTCAATTTTTATATAGATATGAGAAGAGAATTAATTAAATTATACATTTCAACCAACCACATACTCAAACTTTGACTATTTCAAGATGTTATTTTACTATAATTCCAATTAAGAGAATATTTAGCCCTTAATATTGTTTTTTATCAAATTATAATTTGATAAAAATTTAAAAAGATGAAACATTGAAAATTATTATTTTTTCCATCAAAATTGGTGAACAGGAAAAAAAAATTGGATAAGAATAAAAGTTATTTTAAAAATGATAAAAATTTAATGAAAAAGTTAAAATAATTCATATTAAATCAAATTTTTTATTCAAATTTAAAATCAAATTAGATAAAAATAAAAAAGTAAAAGAAAATGATGAAAGTTTGAAAATATTTTGAAACCTTCTTATCTTAAAGACTAGAAATTTGTATGTGTATTATATTCATACTGTATTTTTAGTTATGAAATTGAAATCAAAAGAAATGTAACTTAAATTATTGGATTAATAATAGAAATATCATATTAATTATTATTAAATATCACTTCACTTCACATTTAATAATAAAATTGTATATTTGTCTTAATTATAACTTTTTAATTTGTAAATTTTCATAACAAGAAGAGGTATGGCATAAGAGTGCTGCTATTAGTACCTCATAAATTATTTTGGACTCCTAATTTTTAGTTTTTTTTATTACAATAATACCCTCAAATAAAATTACTACAAAGGATATCATTAATTTTGGGATACTTCATATCATAAATTAAACTTACACACCCATTACATCATGAATTAAGGTTTATGAAAGCACTCACCTCCATCACCGTCCATCCATCTTTCCCAAATCTCACCTTCAAAACCTACCTACCCATCCTTGAAACCTTAAAAACTTTTGATGGTAATATTCCGACAGTAACGATGGCAACCATTTGATTATCTACACTTCTCCGGCAATGACAATGAGTGGAAGTTTGTCTGGCAACCCACAACTCTATAAGATAAGAGGAGTACAACAACAAAAGTTTAGAGGAGGCTCATAGCTTTGATGTTATTTTTAACTCAGAGGAGATTGGCCTTGTAAGGATAAGTTTCTTGAAAAAAAAAAAAGCAAAAATAATAAAATTTATTTGTCATTTTTTGGGGACTAAACTCCTCAACATATAACCTAAATTCAGGAAGACAGGCCCGGACATTGTTTATTTGTTCGAGAACTGATAACCGAACATTATTCTTGGATTAGACATGTTTTACTGAGAAAAACTAAACCAATTATTATGATTTTTTTATGAAAGAGAATAAATTATTATAAGAAAATTAAGAAATTATGTGTATATATATAAATATATATATAGAGAGAGAGAGAAGGAGATTGAGAGCATACTAACTGTAACAATAGTCGATGAGGCAGCAGCGACAGTAATCACATTGTCTCTTCTTCTTCTTCTTCGTGGGCTTTGTTAGGATTTTTTTGGAAGTGGAGTTTTTTTGGAGTGTGGGGAGTGTGCATTCAATGGGTGTAATGTTTTCACAAGGATAATTTTGGTATTATTTGGGAGGAAAAGAAATTTTAGGAGTTTCAAAATTTATAGATGGTGATCTAAAGAAATGGGAAGTCCAAAATAATTCATCGAGTGCTAATAGCACCACTCATGTCACAACTCATTAATCTCATTTAATCAAGTTTAATTTTTTTTTTAATATAAATTATCAAAATTACACTAAATAGATTTTTATATATATTTTTAATTTTTTAAAACTAATAATTTAAAAAGTTATAAATATAAAAGTTAACTTTTAAATTTCATATATATCACAAAATAAAATATTAAATTATTTAAAAATAATTATAATAATTTTTTTAATTTATAAAATTTTGTGCATAGCACGTTAACCTTTTTAGTCTCTTTTATAAGGCAAAAATGTGAAATTATGCTTAATCCAGTTGTCAAACTTGACAGGAAACCTCCAACGTTTCTGCCATAGAAATTTCGGCGTTCTCAAATTTTGAAAGCCAATGTGTGAATAATTACCGGTTATACACTATAAAACTAAGGAGCCAGACTGTATTCAGTTCAAGTTCATTTTTTGATCCATTTTTGACAATTAGAACGGTCACATTTTAAAATTTATTGAATACATTATTCTTGTAAAAAAATCACGTCGATCGAATAACGAATATTATGTATTCGATCACTTTTATCTGAAAAAAATAGGCAGTCATTGTTGGAAAAAAAATGGTTTTATATAGGCATATTATTTAGCCCAATTTGGGTGGACCCCAAACGTCTTTTGGGGTGGGTCCATAGAGGTGAAGACGGAACGTCAAAACCATTTATGAGTGAATGGGTTTGAATTTATTTCTAGTTATTTTATTTACACAGAAGATTGTTCCAACAGTCATAAGATTAATAGTTCACAGAAAAGTGATCCGAATACATAATATATGTTATTCGATTGATGTAATTTTTTATAGGAATAATGTATTCAACAAATCATAAAATATGAACGGTTCGAATTATCGAAAAATGGTCCAAAAGTAAGCTTCATGAGCTAGACTGGACCCTCCAATCTAAATGGTAGATTGGAGGCAAGCCTCAACCAAAAATTAAATTACTTGAGTTCAATTTGTTATCAATTTAATAAAAATTTATTTAAAACTAATTCACAAAATAAACAAATTAAGGCACTGTTTGGAAGATGGTTTGGGAGTTTTTTTTGGCTATTTTAGTCACAAAAGACAAAATAAGTTATTTTAGCCACAGTAATTCTAAGGGATTCCAATGGCCGTTTCATTGATGGCAATGCTAGGACTCTAGGTGCCTCCTCAGCCCTTCTTGCTGAAGTTCTCGCGGTCCGCATGACTTGCCTTATGATCCAAGCTCACAATCTATCGAATGTGGAAACAGAAAGTGATAACCAAGTGGCGATTCAGTTGTGCATCTCAGAAACGGTTCCCCCTTGGGAAATTAGTGCTGTGATACTGGACATTCGTGCTCTTACTCTATAGTTTCACCTCTCCTTCACTTGGACACGTCGCTCTAACAACAAGGTGGCGCATTGGGTTGCCAAGACCAAAGCTTCCAACTCTTTACCTGATTTATGGACTGTTCATCTGCCTAACTCTTTTGTTACTCTTCTTTATTCAGATGTAATCCAGTTTGGTGATTAATATACTCCCCTTTTCTGATTAAAAAAATAAATAAATAAAACATCACATCCAACCCATAATCATTACGATCTTCTCTAAAAAAAAAAAGATCAAAAAAATCAAAAATTCAAAAAGTCCTTCTCAAACTAAACTTTTTAGCCCAAACTAAAATAATTAAAAAAACTAAAAAGTCAACCCACGTCCCAAACGAAACCTAAATTTGAAACCGTTCTCAAACTTGTTAAATTTATAATATAAATTATCAACAATGCTACATACCACTAAATTTCTACCACTAACACCACCACTAATGATGTGGCAAGTAAAAAAAAAACAAAAACTAAGATACAAAACATATGTGGCAGTGGGTGAGACCCATTGCCACATCCCTAGTGCAACCACTAATTAGTGGTCTGCATCATTTTTCTATAAATTATATATACAGTAATAAGATTCACGTGCCGGTGGATGAGATTTTTATTTTTAAATTTGATTGATTATTATGATGAAACTAGGGATGGCAACGGAGGGCTTCTTATCTCCCGTCCCTGCCCCTGCCCATGCCCATGCCCATGCCCATGCCCTTGCTTCCAAACTTCACCCCCACCTCTGCCCCAACCTCGTTAAGGGATGAAAATTTTCAACTCTATCACCCCTTCCACGGATACTCTACCATATTTTAAATAGTCAAAAAAATTAAAAATCGTTTAAATTCTTAACATATTAAATAATTTCTCTTATTTTCATATATATAAACAGTAAGACATTTAGAATTATTATTTATTTATATTTAAACAAAATCACAAATTTTTAGTATTTTTCTTTATATCTAATTATATTATATATACATATATATTATTAATTATAGCGGGTCGAGTTTGGATCGGGATAGGCAATACCCGCCCCATCCCGTTGTAGGTGACCAAAATATAATCTATCTTCAGCTCACATAAATGTTGAGTTGGGTAAAATTCGTCCCATTTAGATAGGTATGGGCACAGATCAAATTAAAATGGCCATATGTAGATGAAATTGAATAAATTATAATATAAATTAACCAGCTCAATTGATTAATCATGTAATTAAATATTAAGCAATTAATTAATTTTTTTTTCATAAAAGATTTTATACATATAGCCTCATAATAATATAAACAAACAAATAAAATCATAAAAAAACAGACCACGATTGTTTTGAAAAGTTGATTAAAAATTAATTTTTAAATTTTTTGTGACTTTTTTTTTTTTTTTTTGACTAAAAAAGTTAATTTTTTGTGATTTTTTTTTTTAAAAATTTTGGCTGAAAAAATTAAAAAATTAACTTTTTATTTTGTTGCCAAAAAAACCCCAATGAGGTGAGCCCCAAGTGCGTTTTGTTTGGCTCCATAGTTGTTTTCCGGAACCGGACCAACCGCACTGCTTGAACTGTACACAGCAGTGTTCAGCTCAGCCCACTTCACTCCACTGTTCGTTCTGATCAACAACACAAACCCTAGCTCTCACCCCCCAAATCACCAAAGCTTGCTTCAGCGTTTCCAAGGTAATCATCTCTCTCTTTCTCTCTCTCTCTCTCTCTCTCTCTCTGTGCTTTATCAACTTATTTTTGTGTTGGTCTATGATGGCTCAATTGCAACCATAAGAATAGCTTCATTGCATATATATATATACACACATACGTACACATAACATACGTGTAAGAATGGCTCAATTGCAACCTGAATTTGTTTCAAGTTTGGGAAACATACGAGGAACTCAACCCCATTTTAGTGTCCAGCTCAGTAAAAGGTTTCTAAATACAACCAATGTTTTCAATTTACCTAACGCAGAAAGAGAGAAGGTGGGGAAGCTCTTGAATTTTGTTGTAAGCTTGCTTCTACACCATCATTGTAAACCATTTGCAAAAATACCCCTTCACTAATTTTTTCATCTAATTTGATTTCAAATTTGAGTAAAACAAGTCTGATTTGATTTGAACTACTCCTCCCATCCTTTCATCAAAATCTTTCTAAAGATTCCCCTTTTCATCAAATTTGATGAAAAAAACAAATCATCTCCAATGCTTCATCTTTTTTAAATTTTCATCATATTCAAATTTGATGAAGGATTTGATGAGTTCTCAATTTGATGAAAAAAATGTCTGTCACTTTGATTTGATGAACATTTGATAAAAGGATTGTAGATGATTTTTTAGCACTTTTTCATCAAATTTAAATTTGATGAAAGAAGAGGCGAAGGATCGGATATGGTCTTAATATATGAGTGATTCTCCACCATATCCGAAGAGAGAAATGATTGAACTTTGTCCAAATACTCCCAATTCTTATATCAGAATTCATATTCTCTTCTTCAGTTGAGTGATTGTAACCTCTTATCATCAACATCAGCTTTTTTTGATATTTCTTTAGCTTCAAGAATCTATAATTTCAACAATTCCAACTACATGATTCTTTTCTGCCTAATCTATGTAAGATTTAAGTGTCAGGATCTCCAAAGCTAGACTAAATGTCACACCTTCGTATCTTCCTTGCATATTAGAATTGAGATCACTTCTTTATCAGGGTAAGTCATTGCCTTTGGTAGAAGAAAATTTTTTCATCCAAACCTGTGCAGTGATCAGGAGAGTTGCTGATGAATAGGCGACCTCATCTACCATTTATTAACTCAACATATTTAATGTTTATGATTTAACTTTCAATGGAGCCACCCCCGTAGTGTGAGTTAAGTTGGGCACTGAGCTTGTAGATATCCTTGGTTTGCATATTAGGGGAAAAAGCCAAAATAAAATTGACGTGTTGAAAATGTTTCTCAATTCCCATTTGTATATTTGGGAAAATATTGTAGAAGAATCATGCTTAAATATTGGTAGAATAGTTACCTTTGTGTTTTATTTTATTTTTTAAATTTTCTATGTGCAAAATCACTAACATTTTTCTGTGGCAAGACTTAAACCCTTGACCTTCTAGTGAGGTACAAGGGTTCTGGCCAACTGGGCTAGCCCTTGTTGGTTGGAAGAACCTTTTTATAATTTCTGACTATGCCTATGCTGGACCTTCTACTGGAATGGCCATTTAAAACCTGAAATACATTTTCCTTGTCTTGCAGTGAGAGATGGGAACCAGAGGAGTTATCAGTGATAAATGGTCTATGAGGGTTCTCTGGTTCTGTGCCCTTGGAAGTGCAATTGGTAATGCAGTCCCTACCTTTTTCATCAATGTTTTTGCATAACAATTCAATTCTGTTTCAATTGAAGTTTGTTGTTTATTTAGACAGTTGCTTCAGTTATTCTTGTTTTCCTATCCACTTTCTAAGAAAATTTATTTGGTGACTTTTTCTTGTTTAGGCCTATACATGGTTGCTGTAGAAAGACAAACACAGAACAGGGAACGAATGCTTGCTGAAGCTTTGAAACAATCAGGTGCTGACAGTGGGGAGGATGTTTAAATCCAGACTTGTCTACATGTCAGATACCTGTAATTTCTTTTCTTTGCAGTTTGCTTTGTATCCTACTTGCGTCTTCTGTTTGATTCGCAAGTTATCTGTTAGGTTTTACAAATCCCAGTTAGCCAATTTGACTTTCATAGGATTAGAGTGTTGATGATTCAACAATGAAATAGAAGACCAACAGTTGATTTTGTGTTCCATAAAGTATGTGTTTTCAGGATGATGTATGAATCTTCCCAGAGAGAAAGGGGATTTAAATTTCAATGGAGAAGTCGAATAAAACTTTGTTTTGAATGGTCAATGCGGTGATTAAATTTTAATTATAAGCATTCTTTAATTTGCAAAACGTGTATAACTGCTATTGCAAATGCCATAAAATTCTAAATTTGAACTAGTGTGGTTAAATTTCTTGACGATATACATTATCTAGGCTGTTTAAATTCTAAATGCAATGCAATGGTTGGGATGAGAGTATGTTAAATAAGGAAACCTTCAAGTAAGATGCATTTTGCAAACCAGTAATGCTATAAACAGGGAAAAAAAATTAGACAAAAAAACAAAATATATATATATATATATATAGACAACTGCATTTATTTTATCCTAGTTGACTGCTCTTTTTTTTTTTCTTTTTTTTTTGAGGGCGAAGACTCTGTTCTTTATATGGGATGAATCTAGAAGAGTGTAATAGTGACATTATTTTATATAGTGTTACTAATAAATAAAAAAAATTATAAACGAGTAGCCTTCGCAAGAATATCAGTAGCATATTTTGATTGGGAAAGAAAATAGCCATGAGGAGAAGACTGAACCGAGATGCCTAGAAAATAGGAGATGTGACCCAGTTCCTTCATGGAAAATGCCTTGTGCATGTGGGTGAGAAGAGTCTGAATAAATTCTTCATTAGTGCCAGTAAGGAGAATGTCATCAACATAGATGAGGAGATAAGTGATAGAAGAAGTGGTCTTGCGGACAAATAAATATGCTTTGCCTTGTAATGCTTGTTCTGTTTCAAAATGCCATAGACTACCTTTTAAACTTTCAGATTCCTCTGTAAATAATTCATTGGCATTAATTCACACTGATGTTTGGGGTCCATTTAATTGTTCGTCCTCTACTTACAAGTATTATGTGTTGTTTGTGGATGATTTCAGTCGTTTTACATGGATTTATCCTCTTTATTACAAAAGTGAAGTGTTTTCAAAAATTTTGGAGTTCAAAAGTTGAAAAACAATTTGGGTTTCCTCTTCAGATTTTAAGGTCTGATGGAGGTGGTGAGTTTATTAATCAATCTCTGAAAGTGTTTCTGCAAACTCATGGCATTCATCACCAATTCTCTTGTCCTCACCCTCCATCTCAAAATGGGGTTGCCGAGCACAAACATTTGCATATTATTGAGACTGCAATCTTTTTTTTACATCACTCTTCTTTACCACTTACCTATTGGTTTGATGTCGTGGCCACCTGTGATAAGCCTGGTCCATGTTATGCTAATTAATCCTGATTATGATTGTGATTATGTGTTTGATATGATTTTGAGTGCCATTTATATGAATATATGTGATTTTGAATTTCTATCTGTTCACCGTAGGAAAATCTGTTTGATTATTTGCTTTAGAATTTAAATTGAAGGCCCTATCGACCACAGAATCCGAAATTGATTACGCCATTAGGATTAGCGTAATTTTTAGAATCTACGGTGAAATTTAATTGAAAATTGATTCGGATAAAAATAATTAGATTCAGAACGATTAATTAAGTGTTATTAATTAGCTATAATCAAATTAGATCAAGATAAGGACTATATAAGGGCCTTATTACACTTAACTCTTCATTTTTGATGAGCTCAAATCGGGTTATACACTCTAGAGAGAGAGAGAGAGAGGCCGGTTCTAGAGAGAGGAAGAGGGAGAATTGTGTATCTTGGCTCAAAGTTGTGAATTTGGAAGCTTAACTCCAAGAATTAGCTAGAAATGGGAAGCTTGGAACTCCAAGGTGAGTATTTGAGCATTGATTCACAAATTGTAGTTGTAATTTTGAGAATTTGAAGCTAGATTGTAAACAAAAGTGTGAATTAAGTCATATATGAAGTTAGATTGAGCATGCATGCATAAAATTGCCATGAAATTACATAATCAAGTATGTAAGAAGTTGAATATGAGAAATTGAGTGTTGAATCATACATGCAAGCATGGTTTTGTTGAGTTTCATGAGAATGGGCATCATTTGTGCCATTCGAAATGATATTGAGCTCTATAATACACATGCATTAATGATCCATGAAGTTATGGAGTTTGGCTATATGTACATTGAAGTTTAATCATGAAGCAATGTGTTTTGATGGTAAACTTGAGAATTAAAATCTTGATTTTGAAGAATTGGTCTCATATTGCTATTGTCCTCATGTTATGTAATGTTTTCCATGCTTTTGTGTCAAAAACATGAGTTTTAATCCTTTAAATATCAAGTTTGAACTTCAAGAACAGTTCTGGAAATTCCAGAATTTCGCATGTCCGCTCGAGCGGGGGGAAGGGCCGCTCGAGCGTGAAATGCTAGTTCCCAGAAGTTTTGCAGACATGATGTCCGCTTGAGCGGGGAGATTCACGCTCGAGCGCCAAGCCATGTAGTTTGAATTTTAGCTCGAGCGTCCGAAGTCATGCTCGAGCGTAAATTTAAGGCAACCAGTACTTTTGTAGACCAAAGGGGTCCGCTCGAGCGGGGAAACCTACGCTCAAGCGGGGAGCCTTGTTTCAGAAAGTTTGTAAAGATGTTTTGTGTTTCGTTTCCCGTTCACTTTCATTTCTAAGTACTCTTAGGCGTGTGTTAAACATTGTAAATGAGTTAAAAGAATAAGAAAGAAGCCTGAGAGGAATGTATGAATTAAGAGCAGATTGGATCGTTTGTGACCCATTGTGTTATGAATTATGTAAGGTCAAGTGCAAGGGCAAATCCACCGGCGGATCACTGTGAGTAATATCTTAGTAAAGATATTTTCAAGTATGTTGCTTTCCAAATGTTACTTCTGTATAAGCTTCATGGATTTGCTGATTTGAGATATGAATGAGTATTCTATATGCCTAATTTTGTATAAGGCCGCTTGCCGTTTTCCGTTCGCCGTTTGCTGTTGATGTGTTTGATATACCTGAATTGGGCCAAAGGCCGTCGGACATGAATGACTGGGCCAAAGGCCGTCGGATATGAACGATTGGGCCAAAGGCCGTCAGACATGAATGCAAAGATGAGCCAAAGGCCGTTTGAATGAAAGGGATCATGGTCATGAACATGAAATACGCATGGATATGAATATAAAGAGAATGGGCCCGAGGCCGTTTGATACGCCTGATATGTTTGAATTGGGCCTGGGGCCGTTTGATGTGCTCGAATTGGACCAAAGGTCGTTTTGAATAGAGAGTTGGTTGGACCAAAGGTCGTTTCGTATAGATGGACCTGAGGTCGTATTGTTTTATATAAGAATTGGACCTAAGGTCGTTTTGCATATGGGCATGATGTGTTGGACCTAAGGTCGTTTTGCTTTGTTGAGATTTGTAAATCTGGTGTGAATGAGAATAGTGGTTCAAATATGTGCATTATAAGTATGATTCATTTATGAACGAAACTCATTCATTAGCCTCTTTATTTTGATATTATTCACTGGGCGTTAGCTCACTCTCATTTATATGTATGTAGGTGAGCAAAGGGACGTTTAACCCCAGCCTTAGTGGAGTTTAAGAAAGGAACCCGAGTTTTGTGAAATCAGCCCAGGTGCCTCACGCAAGAGGCTTTGGTTATGAACTTTTGTATTCCTTTTTGCTATTTCTATTGATCGTGATAGACCGTTTATGTGTATAAGTGTCACGACCCAAACCCGCCCCTATAGGTTTAGCATCGTAACCGGCCAGTAATCCTTGGATTACCGAAGGCCTCTGAACAGATTAACAAAATTAAGGGGCTAGCGGAAGCTAATACATAAATATAGTTATCCAATGAGCTGTGCTGACTTATATGAAACAGAATATTTAAAACTTTATATACATAACCGGTAGTCAACCATACATTATACCCACACACATTACAGTATTTTAAGTACAGCCAACAACATCAAATCAAGTCTTAAATAAACAGAAACCACAGAACTTAAACACAGGACGCTTCGGGAACATCCATGTGAGGCACAATGGTTGGCTAACAACAGAACACAGATCTAGACAAAAGCCTTCAGGCTCGAGCTCCAGAATGCTCACCTATACATATATATACACACAATGAGCTAAAGCCCAATGAATAACATTAAGGTAAAGGGTTTAGTGAACGAAATCCCAATATATCATAAGTAGAAAACAGACCAGAGCATAATCATTCTCATATCAGAACATAATAGTGGTACATCCCATAGAACACATCACAGAACGTCTTCCGACTAGAGTAATCGGTTCCGGATACCGATTAAACACATATCACCACAATGAAGTGGCTAACGAGATCTCGTAATTACTTGTATGTCATGGACCCGCATTTTCATGCCGTCCCCCATGACTTGGAACTATCTATGGATGCCATAATACATTTCAAACTCAGAATATTCGTTCACGAAAACAAATATCGTTTCAGAAATCAGAACTTATCATATTTCATTTGGAACGTAATTCATATGCACATATCTTTACAATAACGTTACTCGCAGTGGTTCCAGCAATGGTCAATCAATCCTCGAGTCTTGACCTACAATCACAAAATACATTACACAAGCATGTCTTATCATTACACATTCAAGTGGCCATTAAAGCTTAGCTTTCATTACATTGGTTCTTATCACATTGCCTAAAACACACACACTTACAATCTTGAAACTTAGTACATTCTTTTCTTGGTGTGTTTCTAATCCATAACCTCATTACTATGGCTTAATTAAGACTTAGGAATGCCTAAGATGCAACGAGGATGCCAAAACATGCCTTGGAACACTTAGGCAAAATTTCTGAAAATAAGGTCCACGCTCGAGCGTAGCTTTCCTTGCTCGAGCGGACATGCAAAATGTGAATTGTCGCTCGAGCGCACATTCCTTCGCTCAAGCGATCTGTAAAAGACATGAAATTTCTGGGAGCTTGCAATTCATGCTCGAGCGGACTTTTGGTCGCTCGAGCAGAGTGCATGCACTCAGATTAGTCGCTCGAGCGTGAACTCCCACGCTCGAGCGTAGATGCATATTCTGAAATTTCCAGATTGCACCTTCAAGCTCAAAACTCGAATTCCAACTTTCAAAACACATCTCTTGGGCTCCAAAACTTGAGATAACATAGTAAACTTGTAAAACATGAAGAAT